AAACTTTAGTAGAGAAATTCTCTCGTGACAAACTATAAACACCACTCAACCGTTTCACACATCTCTCTCTCTCTCTCTCTCTCTCTCTCTCTCTCTCTCTCTCACACACACAAAAAATAAAAAAAAAGAAACATACAGTCATAAATAAAAGCAAACACAGACTGCACAAAAACTTAAGTAGAGAAAGTCTCTCGTGACAAACTATAAACACATGAATTTAGTGCTTCAATCTCGCCTCGCCCGGCATAATAGGGACCGACCTTCGCGGTTGGCGGTGAAGGGCACTCACTGACCATCAACATGAGAAACAACACCAGAGAGGTCGTTTACCTACTCAATCAATCAAACAATCAATCGATCAATCAATCAACCAATCAAGGCCAGGTTGGCGTAGAATCGATTAGATAAGAAGAAAATCAGACCCACAGCCATAGTCGTCAGCGCCACGTGGCCTTAACGGAATTCACTCTCTCCCCATCGCGACGAAGTGCGCCCACTTCCCAAGCCCAAGCCGAAACCCTAGGATGGGAAAAAAAAAGAGAGAGCAGTAAGTATTTAGTGCAATTTTCAGGCCAGATACATTTCAGTAAAGGAGAGAGCTACGCACTCTCTTCATGGGAGTCAAGGCTCTCTACGTTACATCCCCCGCCAAACACAGCACCCGGGTCGAGATCCCACTATCAAAGAGGACTGGATTCAATGTCTTAATCTGGACGTGTTTTAAGGAGAGGTGCAGGAAATTTGAAGTGCTTTTCTGCATCTCTGCATAAAACAAATCCAGCAGTGGAACGAAGCCCTCTGTAACTACCATCAATCTGAGGCCAGATACAGACATAATGAATGACCACAGAGTAGTATTCAGGGTACAAAGGGTGGCGGCTCCGTGCAAGTGGGGACGCTTCCACTCGCTAGTGGGAAAAGACACAAACACACCAGCAGTTATTTTGTTTCATTTTTTTAATTAATAAACACAATTGCGAAAAAAAGAAAAAAAAAAGAAAAAAAAAAGAAAAAAAAAAGAAAAGGAATAAAAAAAGAAAAGAGAAAAAGAGAATTGCGCCCTTTATCACCGCTCTCAAGTCTCCAGTCAGATACTCAAAGCAAAGACAAACACACCAGCAATTATTTTGTTTCGTGTTTTTTTTAATTCATAAACACACCAACAATTACAAAGAAGAAGAAGAAAAAGAAAAAAAAGAAAAAAAGACAATTGCGCCCTTGATCATCGCTCTCTCGCATACTCAAAGCAGAGTTCTCTTCTCGACCGACTACAGTCCAAATTAATAGGAAAGATATAATCTCATTTTACCCGAAATCCGGTCAAATACACCCAACAAAATCCAATCTAGCCGAAATTACGGTCAGCTAAGCCCAGCAAGAACATGGCAGACATGTGAGATAAGAATTAAAAGTAAAAAAAAAGAACAAGAACAAGAAAAAAGCAAGAAAATGGAAAAAAGCAATTCAAAAAAAACAAGGAAAACAATATAAATATACCGAGAAAGAAAGAAGAAAAAAAAAAAAAGACGAGAATGGAAGAAGACGGCGAAACGATTTGGGGATCAAAACTGAAATCGACGACCGAAATTTTTCCCGCCAAAACTGAACTGAACTGAACCGCCTTGGTTTTTTTTTTCCCCCTTCCCTTGCGGGAAGCAAAAAAAAAAAAAAACATTTTGAAAAGACAAAACTAATTAACCGGCTCCAACAATAATGTTGTTGATGGGAATGAAGATGAGTTTTACAAAGAAGCCGATGAAGCCCATCACGACGAATCCGATGGCTGTTCGAAAAGCGATCTTCGAGAACTCCTTCCTGTCTGGCTTATGACATCGCTTCACCAGCCGCACACTCTCCTTCGCGAAATCCTTCACAGGTCTCACAACATTATCCACCGTCTCCATCTCCCTCTCTCGCTCTCTCTCGCTCTCTCTCTCGCTCGCTCGCTCGCTCGAGAGTTCGTTGCGCGGTCGGTCGGTCGGTCGCTCGTTCGTTGCTCGATGGAGCTAGAAACAGCCGCAGCTCTCTCTCTCTCCCTCTCTCTCTCTCTCTCTCTCTCTCTCTCTCTCTCTCTCTCTCTCGTCGGTCGCTCGCTCGCTCGTTGAGAAACAGCCGCAGGCTGACAGAGGGATAGACCTAGACCATGGAGAGATTGAGCACCTGGAAATTGCCGTGAACGCACAAAGACTATCGAACACAGCTAGGACGGAGGCTTTCCTCCTCCCTCTCCCAGCTCTCTCTCATCCCTGACCCTGCAGCGTGAAGGAGCGGCGATGGCGAATCTCCCAAGGCGTCAAGGCCCCAAGCGACAGCGACAGCCACAGAGAGAGCGAGCCTAACTTCACGGCAGATTCCGCAGCACAGTCCCTTGTCTCTCCCTTCCTCCTCGTTTGCTCTTTCCGATCACCGACTCCGCTCAGCGGTACGCAGCTTAGCGCAGACGAAAGTGATCTGACGAACACAACTCCAAATACCCTCAACGGTGCGCTCCTTAACGCAGACACGAGCGATCTGACGGACACAAGACACAACTTCCCCCTCTCGGGCTACATAGGTCCCACTTGCACGAATTAAGAGATACTGACCGTAGATAGCAAGGATCAACGGTCGAAATCTCCTAATTTGCGCAAGTGGGACCTTGCCCCTCCTCTCCCTTGCGGAAAGTGGTAGTGGTAGTGTGGCAAAATTGCGCGCGGAAGTATTCTGGCAACTGTGTGCCACTTGTAACACGTCGATTATGTAGAATCCGGGGGCTACCGGTAGGTCCCACTTGCAGGAATGAAGAGACGCTGACCGTCGATAGCGGAGATCAACCGCCCAAGTCTCTTAATCCGAGCAAGTGGCACCTTGCCCCGGCTGTTTTCACGAGAGCGCTCAAACATCGGGGCCATGGTCCCATTAGCAATGAGCGTCGGATTGAATGCCTGAATCTGGACGTGTTCGAGGACAGGAGCAGGAAATCGAGATCCAACCGCTTTTCTGGATCTCTGCATAAAACATGGCCACATTCAGGATTTCTATCCTATCCCCTTTGCTAGTGGGACCACGGCCCGGATTGTATGTTCTAGGTTTTAGCAGAGGGAGGCCCATCATTTATTTAATTTATAATATAATAATACAGCCGCGCGTTTTTTGGCTGAGTCGGCCAGAGCCGCCCTAAGGCTTGAGGCCTCGCCACATCACTCTCGAAATGTGAAAATGACAAAAATGTGGCGGGAGCATCTGGTCATGTTCTAGGGGTATGTTCATTCTCATTTTGCACATTTCGAGAGTGATGTGGCGATCGCCTTACCGGTCAACGGATTCTCCTCTCACCGAGAGGGCACAAGCACAAGGTCAACGGCGGTATATTGCGAAGATGGGCGTCCAACCGAGGCGTGGGTTCAATCCCCATTGGCCTCATGTACCTTCCTGGGCATGCTTGGCGCCCGCCACCTAGAGATAGACCACTGGATCCCCCGATTGGCATTTAGCAGAGTCTGCTGATGTTCATAGGGGAGGGGACCTGAGGGGAGGCACAGGGACTGGTCCTGTTGGCATGGTCCCTGGTAGCCGGTATCGCCCACACGCAGGTCGGGAGCAGCCCCTGCATGTTCTCTCGTGAACACGGTTCTGGCTGCCACGGGGTTCCCCGTATGCCTACAATTAGGAGTAGTGATAGGTAGGTAGTGTGAGGTGAAATTGAGAGAAGAATATAGCTTTTTTTTAATAAAAAAAAAAAAAGGGGCATTTGACAAAATATTTTTTTTGTCAGAGGGGTATTGGGCTCTACTCACATCTTTTAGGGGCATTTTGGCGTATATCTCAACTTATGGGTGTATTTTGCAAATTATCCCTTTTTTTAAACTCATACTCATTCATTACACATTAGTGAAAGAGGGGCCGGCCACCCCACATAAAGGCTGGGACTGGAAGCCTTACCCAGCTTCGCTTTTTATGGGACCAATGGGACCCGGTTCAAACCCGCCCTACCCCCACACCCTAACCTATGGAACCCGGGGTCTATTTCGGTCCCCCCGAGCATGTGCTCAAGTACGAAGCTTAGGCTTGGATCCCACTATTGTTAGTGAGGCCATTTTCGGGCCCGAATTCGGATCCCACAATGTACCGGGGCGTTCGGGACCCGAAACAAAATTCCGTTGTTTCTACTCACTATGCGCATCGTGTCAATCAGGCCACAATGTGACGCCCAACCTCATGCCCAGTGCGACTTCCTGATCGGAGTGGGATGGGGGCCCGGAAGTGCGAAAAGGGGTGTGCCAAGGATTTTAGGATGGGGGTGGAGTTCCAGGTCGGAACTGAAATCTCCTGTGGCAAGCCTTAGGGACAGTTGTGCAAGATAGCAAGCGTGGACCGCGTCCGATTTTTATGCTTTCGGTATGTCATTGCCATCCCTGCAAGTTTCGTCGTCGAGGCCAGGCTCGGATCTGGTGAACCAACGGAACGCTATGCAAGTCGCATTGCCTAATTAATTGTCGGTGTCGCTCGTGACAAGCCTCAGAGTCGGACGAAGCGGGCCTCAGGCGCAGGCTGTGGGCTCGCTGCTCGGCCTCAGTCCGGGTTCGTCGTGCGAACCCCGCGGCTGAATACTCGTTGTCCTGCCGGCACTCAGAGCACGGGGTTTGAGGCCAGTAGGGGGCGAGCGCGTGCCACGGGGCCACCGTCAGGCAGTGAAAAGGCAATACGAGGCGGTAGGGAGCGACATCTGTCTCAATGATGACAACACAGGGTTCGGCGATGACGTAGCTTGCGTGTGAGCTGGGGAATTTTGAGGGAAAAGGGATCGCGCGTAAGGCCCGTTCAATGTCCAGATCACAGATATGTTCGTTTCCGGTCTGAAAGGGAAATTTTGGAGGGTTGGGGCGGGGTTGTGCGAAAAAACAGACGTTTTTCCATTCCCAGTATTCTCGGAACCGTCGATGTCTCAAGCTTTCCCGATCTGTGACGTGGAAGGGAGTCCCATCATCCATGCTATCGGAAAGTTGCGAGCTTACACATGGACTCGAGCGTGGGTCTTGTAGACACACGTGTAGGCGGTGCTCGTTTGGTCGAGCCTACATCCATGCGCACGAGATCGTGTTCGCGATCAGTTGGATCGGATTGACTGGCTATCCCTTGGTCGGGAGATCGTCTGGTCAATCGTTATGCCAGCCCAACACGTGGCATTTATGCTCTCGAGTGTGCGTGTCAAGAGACAGAGATTAGGAAGGCAAACTGCGGGTAATCACACATTTGAATCAGCCATCCACTTATCAGTCAGAGCATACATCAGTTAGGACCGTCGTGTGTTCGTTAGATTTTTCTTTCTGCCCAAAAAGGAACGAAAAACTGACATGCATACGTGTGGTCCGACAAAGACAGTATCTACAATCGGGGGATTGGTCCGCCCGGTAACTTAGTTTCGCAGACGCATTTTCCCAATACTCATGCATCAATCAAACTCAAGGGTCGTGCAAATTTCCAAAAAAAAGCATAAGCGAGAGATCGATAAAGGTTTATGCATCAATCCATGTCACCGAGGAAGACTACATCATCATCATAACCCAAGCTCACCGAGGTCACGCGCAAACAATCATCGTACCCAATCTCACCATACTGCAGGAGTGAGGAGGAAAATCAAACCGATTATTAAGAAAACCACGAACCAGGGATACTCATGAGTAAAATAAGGTCGGCGCCGCTTGTCAAAACTACATAGACGAGAAAAAGAAGGATGTCATCCCACACACAAGATCCAAAGGTTGGCAATTCCGTAATATGCATGAGGAGCGCATACAACCCGAGTGCAGAATGGAGACCAGAAAGTAACAAAATTTGAATTAAGCTAGTCATCAAAAATTGTGTGAGGAGGGGTGAGGGAAGCGTGCGAGTTCGTTCCACACACCATAAGCAGAAAATCCAAGATAATTCACAAGGAGATCCGAAACGGTCGCAACAAGATCGGCCAAGGTTGAAATCAAAATTTATATAGAGGGTTAGAGAAAGGCATCATCCCACACACATATCTCTCTCTCTTTCTCTCCACGCCACATCACCTCCGATACGGGCAGTCCGTCACCTCGCACCAACACCGAGTCGTCACCCCGCTTAATCCGAGCACGCAAACCAAGTTCACCCGTCAGTCACAGTCCGTCGTGGCACGAAAGAGAGAGAGGGAGAGAGAAAGAGAGAGATAGCTTCCCTCGTAATCGTACTATCCACTGCTTCACGACCGCCTCCACGATCATTGCGTGAGCAACATGGTGCGCACATTTATTAAACCGCCACTGTTTGTGACCCTTCCCTTGCCGAGCCTTGAAACGCGTTGCACGCCAGAAAGAAGAATCGGCATATGCCTTCTTTTGGTTGGCGCTACCAGCCATTTTGCTCCAGAAGGCCAACCTTAAAAACCTGCGGCCACATGCACACCGCGTTGGAGAAAATGGTTGGGAAACGTACAGGTGGTTCAAACCACCAGTACTTGGCCCATGTATCGGCCCCGCAACTTCCAGAGGCTTGGGTTACCAGCCCTCAAAGGCTGGCGCCGCCAGCCAAAACAATTTTTTTTTTTTTTGCGCTAGCGGGCCAGCGTGAAACGGTGCGCAGCACATTTTGAGGCTCGACACCGATAGTTGGGCCAACTACTGGTGGTTTGATGTACTTGGCACACAAAGTAACAGGAAAACAGGGATTGAGAAAACGAACACACACACACACACACACACACACACATACACACACAAAGAGAGAGAGAGAACCTTGCCACAAAGCCATTCTTGACACCCCCTTCAAATCGCCTCCCGACGTTAGCAGTCCACGTACAGATGAAAACAGTGCAGCGTAATGGGAGAGAAAAAAAACAAAACATGACCTCTTAGGATTCGAAGTGGATCGTACAACACAGGCCAAGGTCAACATCAGTATCACCGGAGCAAGTCGAGAAATCTTGAAAATTCGAAACGAGGCAATGGAGGGACAATAGTAGTGATTGATGGCAGACACAAACGGTCGTATGGAGAGCACAGGTTGTACCAAAACAATTGGCCCCATTGGGCTTAGCTCAGATGGTAAGACCCACAGGTTGCATGCAGGAGGCTGTGGGTGTAATTGCCATCGATGTCACGTGCCATGGTGTGCCCGGGCATGCTTGGTGCACTCCCACCAAGATTGGCGGCCGCCCCCCAAGCCAGCATAAGCAGAACCTAAGACCACCAGTACTTGGAGACCTCCTTTTTCCAAAGCAGATTTCACCTTGCACACCCAAACCTGGGTAGCGATCCGTACGGCACCGCATACATGTACAGTCGTATGAATCCGTAATCCTACGCTACTCGTACAGGAGGACTTCCGTTTTTTTTTGTTTTTTTTTTTGTAGGTGTCGAGGAGTTGGTTAGTGTCCATGCACTCTGTATACCTGAAATCACCCCCCAAAACGCCGTTGCAAGGCTGATATCAATGTTTACATGGTGTGTGGCTTAGAAGTTGAAACACCCCTGCCCACCA